GCCTTCTAAATAGTCACGCTTGCCCGACGAATAAATACCAGAAAAACTATTGTCCCGAGAGTTCCAACCTGCACACCACTCAAGACGACAACGAAAACAGAGAAAACAAAGTAAATAACCGAAAAAACACAAGGAGACTCTAAATAAATGGAAACACACGACAAGAAATAAAAAGGACCAAAACGATCACGAAAAACATAAAATGGGGGAAAAAGACAAGGAAAATAATCAAGAAAAACGTAACAAAAATGGGACAAACATTTGGGATTATTGGATTTATTTGTGGATGATTATATGATTTGCGCGAGGGATTGTTTGATTTGTTTGTTGACATATTTTATTGAAAATGAATGAGGGTCGTGATTTCGAATTGAGGATATTTTGTGATTGTGCTTATCGTGTGTTTGATGCATTTATCGATGAGCCCGAGGAGACTGGTTAAAATTATATGATTTGATACTTGATATATTTGGAACCTCTCATTTTAATTTTCATGTAAAAATGTGGATTTTGTCGAATTGATTATTCATAATTTTTAAACATGTCGAGCATGTCTTAAGTCGAGGAGATGGTGATATTTGTATTTGATCTCTTGTTTTTATTGCGTGGAGCATTGCAAAATGTATATCTTGAATATAATGTGGATAAATGATATCTCTCTGAATTCTTGTCGAGGAAACAACGAAATAACCCGAGTCTTGTCGAGCTATGGCGGACGAGCGGTTGAGTGTCGAAGACAAAATGAACGAGCATGAGTCCATCAAAGGTAGATGATAATGAAGAACGAGCATGAGTCCATCAAAGGTAGATGATAACGAAAGACGAGCATGGATGATGTCGATCACCGGTGGCAATCTCAAAGGTAGAAATCATTCTCTTTTGGAGAGGCAAGACAATTTGGAGTGGTATTCTCGACCTTCAGGTACAAAACTATTCTCAACTCTTGTTCGGTGGTCGTGTGTGATCGACACGTGGTTTATGGACACATTGAGTCTTTTAGCACCGTTTTTTAGAGATGTTCATTGTCTGAGTACTTTGGGCGAATTGTTGAAGAGACTGTGATGCATATGGATACGGTGGGGATTATTATTTGGATGGCTAACAGAATGATCGGGTGTTATTATATGTTTTTGTGTTCGATGTTTTCTTTTTCAACCTCAGTGGCAGGTCGAAGAATTCGAGCACATGCCATCATGTACAATCAGGAAAGGAAGGTCGAAAAATATGCTTGATTCTTTATCTTGCTCGATATAATTATGAATATTATGGGACTAACGAAAATGATCAATTACTATCATATCTATTTGCTCGATGTGTTCCCATTTGACCTCAGTGGCAGGTCGAAAGGTTCAAAGAAAAAAAAACCACCATGATTAAAGCCATCGGGCTGGGTGGTCGCTTGTTTGGAACACCCCTTGGGATGGGCATGTTGGTCGAATGCTCACGCCTCCGGGCTTGGTGGCCTCATGTTTGGAACATTCTTCAATTGGTGGGCAAGTGTGAAGACAAACCCACCATGACTAAGGTCTTCGGGCTGGGTGGTCGCTTGTTTGGAAACCCCTTGGGATGGGCAGGCTGGTCGAATGCTCACGCCTTCGGGCTGGGTGGCCTCCTGTTTGGAACATTCTTCGATTGGGTGGGCAAGTGTAAAGACAAACCCACCATGACTAAGGCTTTCGGGCTGGGTGGTCGCCTGTTTGGAACACCCCTTGAGATGGGCAGGCTGGTCGAATGCTCATGCCTCCGGGCTGGGTGGCCTCTTGTTTGGAACATTCCTCGATTGGGTGGGCAAGTGTGAAGACAAGTCCACCATGACTAAGGCCTTCGGGCTGGGTGGTCGCTTGTTTGGAACACCCCTTGGGATGGGCAGGCTCGTCGAATGCTCACGCCTCCGGGCTGGGTGGCCTCTTGTTTGAAACATTCCTTGATTGGGTGGGCAAGTGTGAAGACAAACCCACCATGACTAAGGACTTCGGGCTGGGTGGTCGCTTGTTTGGAACACCCCTTGGGATGGGCAGGCTGGTCAAATTCTCACGCCTCCGGGCTGGGTGGCCTCATGTTTGGAGCAATCCTCGATTGGGTGGACAAGTGTGAAGTCAAATCCACCATGACTAAGGCCTCTGGCTGGGTGGTTGCTTGTTTAGTACACCCCTTGGGATGGGCAGTGTAAGCCCCGGCCCAAAAATTATATATTTAGCTCGACGTTGTTTATCAGAAATAGTAATATATTAGTTATGTCGAGAAGTATTAGTATTAATCGCATATTTTATTAAATTTCAAGTCTGAGCCATGGAGAGAACGTTCAAATTATTATTTCGAAAACAAGATAAAAATTCTAAGTCTAAGTCTCGATAAATTATTTTTATCGAGTAT